TCTAACTAAATTCTAATAGAATATAATTAATCTAAATATAAATAATATAAAAAAAATTTTGAAAAAATAATATTTTTGTAAAATTTATTTATATTTTTGTAAAATAACATTTAAAAATTGATATTTTTAAAAATTTTTCTTAACTAACACAAAATTTACTTCTAATTTTAATTATTTATAGGGTTTAAATAGCAACAAATTTTTCTGGTGAAGAATAATCGTTTTTTTTTTGTTGATGTGACGAGCACAATAGATAATCATTAGTCATATACATACATACACATTTAAACATTTTGGGTACCTAAGTTGACCTGTGAAATTTACATACGAAAAGGACTGTATTTAAAATCAGTCATATCTTACGTGCTTGCATAGTCTAATAGGCAGAGTTTCTAGAATTTTTTTAGCTGAATATTTTGACGAATTGAAAAAGTGTAGTGGGGGATTTTTTTGTTTTTTAAAAAATGATTTAAATTTATATATTTAAAAGATATATTCAACTAAATATTTGAAATTATTTGTGTTAAATAGTAACATTTTATTATTCAATCATGAGATTTAAAATATTTTATAGAATTGTGGTATTAATTATTGGTTATATATATATTTTTTTTTTAAAATCTAACTTTATTACACTAGTGATTTGAAAGCGTCTTTATCCACTAATATGAAAATATTGTAAACATTAGAATTAGTGTTTAAGAAGTATATATTTTTGTGAAAAAAAAAAGAAGGAAGTAGATATTTAAAAAAAAAAAAAATCTGTATCTCAATTCTATGGTACTTGAAGGGACATTTCTGAAGTTTTTTCTAATAAAGTTCATTGCAATTTTTCTATATTCATACAAAATAATCTAAAACTTTACCGGAGTTTATCAAAAAAAGAAAAAAATGCAATGAGTTCATTTCAGATTTGGCAACGACGCCTCAAATGATGATGTGTGTCTTCATGTACCCACCACATGTGAGCCATGTTTTTGGATGATTACACAAATTTTGGGTTTCTTCCTATAATTTCAATATATTGAATCACAAATTGATCGTGATATGGCAAACAAGGTTCAAGATTCTCTCGACATAATCAAATGTTATAAGAATAAACAAACCATATGATATTGTAGAATCAAATGCCATTGATTTAGTTAGGCTTAAAAAATTGTTGGTTCAAATGATGATATATATTTGGGTTAATAATTGAGACCCACGTGAATTAAAAAGAACCACGTAATGGAATGAAGAAGCCTAATCAAAGACATGTCTCCGACCATTGATTTTTTTATATTAAAAACCAAAATGCACTATCGTATAATGGTTGCTAAATTTTTCGTGTTTGAATCAACCAAAAACGCATCTTCCATCATCGGTGAGAAACTTTCGATGCTTGCTAAAATAAGGAGTTAAAAATATCATCAAAAGATTATACATGTAAATAAATGTAATGTAGATCGTAGATACAATTTTTCCAACACAAAATGCTTGCCTAAATGTATGTCTAAGTCAACAAAATAAATAATGAGGCGTAAATGTGTTGACAAAAAGAAACGTGGCGGCCATTATTGGCTTGTCCAACTATTTCTTTTCTTGGCACACTTTTTTTGGGTGTTTTATACTCTTTTATTAAGGTGTTATGAGGACTTGACCCACAAAGAAAATAAGGTGTTATGAAGATAGTGAATAGAAAAGGTATTCGATCCGATTGGTGACTCCGTTTGAAACGAGTGGTTGAATAATGGGTCGTTTGAAACAAGGCGGTTAGAATCAACGGTTAGACAAAGCGGTCAGATACTAGAAAACAATTCAAATATCAGCTTGATTGATAGCATTATAACAGTTGAATAGTAAAATTAAATAAAATTATGTAATAAAAAATTCGGAATGATTTTTTTTGTCAACCATTTTTTAAAATGATTTTAAAATATAATGCATTG